CACTGTGGCCTTGAAGTACAATACTTTTGTTGTGAGATGAGCTACTAATCCCTTTCAGTTTTCAGGGGAGTACAGTTTAATCAGATGTTGTACTTCTGTTGGATAACCTGTGATGGGGCAAGCTTGGTGGCTCCTCACATAATTAAACACACAGCGATAACAAAATACATAGCCAGAGGTGGCAAGAACGGTATCATTTACCCGGGTTTTACGACACAATGGGCACACAGTCTTCATTTTGGGTAACAGGGGAGAATCAGAGTTATAGTCTAGGTGTACAGGTGGTGGTGGTGTAGGCAGGGCAGTCAGTGATTTGATGGTTTCTTGATTTTCAGATGAGTACCACCAGTCAAGGAACTGCAGGAAGAATACGCTCACAGAAAGGCCAGTAGAGAGGGATAAGGCGACACCCCCCAGAGCTTTCTTCAGAGCTGACTTTATCTTCTCACTAATGCTGTTAAAAGAAGAGAACAAGGAGACAGAAAATGTTTATTCAGGTATAATCACAGAATGACTAATACAGGTGATTTTTTTTTTTTTTTAAGAGACTTTTTGCTGTAGAGCACATGTACTCACCAGAGAGACAGACAGAAAGCAAGAAATCACACTCCAGGGGGATGACCACTCTGCAATCCCTCTTTTTTTTTTTTTTCTGAGAAGTTTTCGCTATAGGGCACATGCGCTCTCCAGACAGACAGAGAGAGACAGACAGAAAGCGAGAAATCACCCCCCAGGGGGGATGGTCACGCCGCAATCCCTTCTCCTCCATTCTCCTCTCGGGATCTTGGGCATGCACGCGCCAGGCGTGAGTTTTAAGCCACTGAGTCCAGGACACGAACCGCGGTCGACTACGTGGAAGTCCAGCAACATAGCCATTACACTAACTGCTGGTTCCCGGGTTTTGTTTTATTTTGAGAAGAAAAACAGAGAATTGTATTACATAGCCTTTTGTTTCTGTGGAAAATAACTGCATCCAGGAAAGAAACAACTTGCTTAAAAAGAAAAACTTGGTAGTATCGCAGAATGTATTTATTTCAGCTTGTAGGAGACACTGCAGATAGAAAAGCATCATTGTTAGGAACCAGCAGTTAGCGTAATGGCTATGTCACTGGACTCCCATGTAGTCGACCGCGGTTCATGTCCTGGACCTGGTGGCTTAAAACTCACACCGGGTGCGTGTGCGTGCGTGCCCAAGATCCCGAGAGGAGAATGGAGGAGAAGGGATTGCGGCGTGACCATCCCCCCTGGGGGGTGATTTCTCGCTTTCTGTCTCTCTGACTCTCTCTGTCTGTCTGGCGAGCGCACACACCCTATAGCAAAAACCTCTCCAAAAAAAAAAAAAAGAAAAAAAGAAAAGAAAAGCATCATTGTTAAGGATGCAGTTCTTTAGAATTATATTGCTGGGGGGGGGGGGACTGGCAGGTGGCATGGTGATTAAGAGCGCTGGACTCCCACAGGGTTGACTGCAGTTCAAGTCCTGGACCTGACTCTGCTTTCTCTCTCTGCCCACCTCTGATGAAATTAAAATAAGTAAGTTAGGTTCAATAAAGTAATTCTTTAAAAAATTATATTGATTTGGCTTGAATCTCAGCTCTGCCACCTACTTGTGTGATCTGGGCAAGGTACTTAGCTGTTAAGGCTTAATTTCCTCAACGGTTACACTGAGCTAATGCATTTATTTCATTGGGTCGTGAGGAGGACTGAGATAAGCACATAGTGTGAACATCTGGCACATACCAAGCATACAATAAAATACACCTGGTATGGTGAACAATGCTACTACAACAGCAGTCCTTGTTTTATAGACAGAAAGAGCAAGTACTAGTTTTTTTGCTATAGAGCAAATGTGCTTGCCAGAAAGAAACAGAAAAAGTGAAAAATCACCCCCACAGACACACCTCATGGGGATGGGGGGTGGGGGAGGGCGCTGATCCTGCAGTAATCCCTTCTCCATTCTCTTGGGACTTTGGGAATACATGCACGCCTGCTTGGCATGTTTTCCCCCCATATATATTTTTTTTTAAGAATTATTTTTTGGGGGGACCAGCAGTTAGCGTAATGGCTATGTTGCTGGACTCCCGTGTAGTCGACCGTGGTTCAAGTCCCGGACCCGGTGGCTTAAACTCACACCGGATGCGTGTGCATACATGCCCAAGATCCCGAGAGGAGAATGGAGAAGGGATTGTGGTGTGGCCATCCCCCCCGGGGGGGGGGGGGGTTTCTCTCATTCTGTCAAGTGCACGCGCCCTATAGCAAAAACCTCTCTTTAAAAAAAAAAACTTACTCATTTATTTATTTTAATTTGATTAGAGAGAGAGAAAGTGAGAAAGCAAGCCACCAGGTCTGGGACTCAAACCATAGTAGGCCATGTGGGAATGTCCAGCACCTTAACCACCACGCCACCTGCTGGCCCACTTGGTGTGCTTTATAATCTACCAGGTCCAGGACTTGAACTGGTCAGCCATGTATGATCTAGCTACCCTAACCATCACACCCATACTGGCCTGAAAGAGTAACTTTTCTGTGATTTTATTAAAAAACTCCAAAGTAGACTGAGGGAGATGAAGTTCACAGAACTGAGATATGATTTTAGAATTTATTAGTGAAAGTTCTTTTGGAAATGTGAAGGTCTTACCTCTTGGTTGGTTGTTGCATCATGCTGGCTTTGGCTAGTCTGTGCTCCAGAGCTTGTATATCCTGCACTGTCAGTCGACCTAACCGAACTCCAGCCAGCTTCAGCAGTGGTGAGTGATGCTGAGCTTTTCCTAGGATGTACTGAAGTTGTTGAACAAGAAACCAGCCTTCCCAGGCCATGTTAACAAATGGGTAGGCAGCCAGGAAGGCTCTGTAAAATCGTTTCCAGTGGGAAGAAGGGGGATGAATAGAATATTCATCCTCCTCTCTCAGGCTGGAAACCAGCTTCTCCAGCTTCACTTTCAGATAGGGAAGAAGAACCAGGAACATAATCGATTTCCAAAGCTGCTGCTTTGGGAGACCAGCACTGGCCAATCTTTGAGACTTGTGAGTGTCCCCCATTAGAATCCGTTTTAAACCATAAAAGTTTTCAGAAAACGAGGCACTGGTTTTAGACAGATAATGCTGCTGGAGCAGAAGATCTAGCAGAGTGAAGATTTCATCGAACCACCTCCAAAAGAAGCCATAGTGGGCAGGATTTGATTCTGCAAGAACCTAAAGCAAAATAAATCAACAAAAAACATTTCATCATTCAGCTACTAAATCATTTTTTTGGGAGGGAGGTTTTTGCGATAGGACGCATGCGCTCGCCAGACAGACAGAGACAGAGAGACAGAAAGCAAGAAATCACCCCCCAGGGGGGATGGCCACGCCGCAATCCCTTCTCCATTCTCCTCTCAGGATTTTGGGCGGGCGTGGACGCACACGCGCCTGGCATGAGTTTTAAGCCACCGGGTACGGGACGCGAACCACGGTCGACTACATGGGAGTCCAGTGACAGCCATTACTGTAACTGCTGGTCACTCAGCTACTAAATCTTGAGTTTACATTTCCCTTTTTGCTCTAAAATTTACACAGCTGTATTAAACAAGTCACTTCTTTTGACATCTACTCTAATCCCCCTATGTGCTAGGTATTCAACACAGTGCTCTACTAGGAACAGACTCTATAACCATTTGAGTCATGGAAAATGGGTCATATGCAAAGTAGTTATTTCAAACCCTATGCCATCAAATAAACACAAGTTTTATTTGTTTGGTTTTTACCCAATTGTCCCTAAGCCCTTTCAGAGAATTAATACCTTACCTTAACCACGTGCTGAAGAGCAGGTCTCACTGCTGTCATTAAACTGTCCTGTGCTACCACCTCAAAGATGGATGGCCGGTCATCTGCCACAGAAGCTGTTGTGATGTGCGCCCCGTGTTCAGCCATTATTTACTGTGTGCACGGCTTTCCCTTATCCCACAAGCTCTCTGGTGAGCATGAACTCTTTGTATCGAATGGGTACTCAGTCTCAAGGGAAATCTTTCTGCATGACACCCCCAACCCCAAACGCAGTTTTACAGGCGAGATTAAAAACGGGGGAAAACGAATCTCTCCTGGCGGCGGAGGGGAGGGGCCTCAGGTTAAGGTTAGGAAGGAAGTGAGCGCGGACGTGGGCGCAGGTGTGTGGGAAAGCGGGGGTTTGTCAGCTGCTGGGCGTCAGGGCAGAGCGTGACTGGGGACAGGTATGGGCGAAGGGGCGCTGTCCTCCGGAGCTGGAACCAGGGACCCTCAATCGTGAGGGCTCAGAAGCCAGCCGGTTCTGAGCGGTCAGAGGTGCCAGTGTGGCCCCGGGACGCGAGGGCTGGCTCTCGCCGACGGCGGCGAAATACCCTTGCGCGCCCGTCCTTGCTCGCTGACCCCAGGCGAGGCGCGATGGACCCCGACGCCACGTGAGGAGAGAGGTCCCTGCTTTCTGACAAGCCGCTGGGACCTTGGGGACGGCTGGCGGAAGAGAAGGCGCTCTAGCCCTGCATGCGGCCCCAGAGCGGAACTGGGAAACTCTATGGCCCCGCAGAGCTTCCGTTTCCGCCCCCGCTGGAATTGAAGCGGACCCCTGGCGGGGGAGCGGTGGCCGGGTGTTCTCTGTTGGCTGGTTCTCTTCCCACTGGGTCAGCGTCCTGGTCTCGGCGGAAACCACAGCTCTGCCCTCTCTCTGCACAGTTCTTTGTGACGAGGCGTCTGAGGGGCCGTGCGCGGCGTGGTGCGGGAGCTCGGCCTGCTGAGGCCGGTTCCCCTGTCTGTGGAGCCAGGGGCTCAGGGAGAAAGGGACATTGCAAATGGGACGGCTCTTCCTGTCCAAGCTGGGCGGGCTGGGGGTTCATTTATATTCTGCCGCCTTCTGACATAGCGGGAGACAGAAGCCTCGACGTTATCGACGAAGAATGACCAGAATGAGAAAGGCCTTGCTTTTATGCCCCGGAAGTTAAGGCGGTTACTTTTCTTTTTTTCTTCCTTTAAAAATTTTTTTTTATTTTATTTATTATTGGTTTAGTTGCTCTAGGGCACATGCGCTCACCAGAAGAGAGAGAAAGGGAAAGTGAGAAAGCAAGCCACCAGGTCCGGGACTTGAGCCGCAGTCGGCCGCCTCAACCACGCACGTGGCAATTACTTTTAATCCAAGATGGTAGCTTATCAGTGTTCCCCCTCCCCCCGAATTTTTTAAAACTTTAACTTTATTTACTTAATTTGACCAGAGAGGAAACAGTGAGAGAGAGAGAAAAAGCTGCTAGGTCTGGGTCTCCAGCCAAGGTAGGCCTTGGAATCCAGTGCCCTTAACCACACCACACCACCAGCCGGCCCCCATGATTATAGTGTAACAGTCTTAGGTTTGGGGCCAGCAGGTGGGTGGTAGTTAAGGCGCTGGATCCACAGGGTCCTTTCTGCGGTTGGAACCCTGAACCTGACAAGCTTGGTGACATGCTTGCTACATGTGTGCACACCCACCATCTGGAGAGGAGAATGGCGGAGAGGGGATTGCCCTGTGGCCATCCCTCGTAGGGGGTGATTTCGCACTCTCCCTCTCTGTCTCTCTGGCAAGTGCAGGCACCCTATGGCAAATAAACCAGTCTTCTAGGCTTGCATTATGTTCAAGTGTAATTCTAGGCCCTTGCTGTATTTGATGAAAATGGTCCTGCCCTCATACAAACTTTTATAGGATGTGTTACAGCAACCTGAATACTGTGCTAAAGCAAAGGGGTCCTGATGAATTCCAGAATGAACTGGAGAGGCTTGACTGTGGAGGTGCTATTCATAAATTATGTACACCAAAACTGATGTAATCTACCTTACAGTTTACGGAGTGCAAATCATGTATAACTGAGTTGTTGATACAGGTTTATTGGATTTGGGTAAGAGTTCAACCTTGGGACCAGCGTTAGTGTAATGACTATGTCGCCGGACTCCCATGTAGTCGACCGTGGTTCAAGTCCTGGACCCTGTGGCTTAAACTCACGCCGGGCACGTGTGTGTGCATGCCCAAGATCCCAAGAGAAGAATGGAGGAGAAGGGATTGTGGCGTGGCCATCCCCCTTGGGCAGTGATTTCTCATTTTCTGTCTCTCTCTCTCTCTCTGTCTTTCTGGCACGCACCCTATAGCAAAAATCTTTCCCAAAAAAATCATAAAAATTTTAAAATTAAATATTTTTAATAATTATTTTAATTTTATTTATTATTAATAGCTTATTGTTTTTAATTTGTCTAGAGAGGGAGGGAAAGTGAAAAAGCAAGCCACCAGTTCTGGTACTTGAACTGTAACTGGCCATGTGGGAGTCTAGCATGCCAACCACTGTGCCACCTACTGGCCTCAAATAAATAATTCTTAAAAAAAAAATAAAGACATTTAGGGACCAGCAGTTGGCATAATGGCTGGGTCATTGGACTCCAAGTAGTCAACTGCGGTTGGAGTCCTGGGCTCTGTGGTTTAGATTTATGCTGGGCATGTGTGTGTGTGCATGCCCAACATCCCGAGAGGAGAATGGAGAAGGGATTGCGGTGTGGCCATTCCCCCTGGGGGGTGATTTCTCGCTTTCTATCTCTCTGTTTCTCTCTGTCTTTCTGGCCAGCGCACGTGCCCTATAGCAAAAACTCTCAAAAAAAAAAAAAAAAAAAAAAAAGAGACATTTACCGGGGTCATGATGGACAGCAAGATGGCTTCTGCCAGCAGGGTTGTGCAGGTAGTGAAGCCACATACACCATTAGGGTTTCCTGACAGAAGAGGCAATCCTAAACGCAATGTATCAGAAGCATTGAGGTCAGCAGGGCTGCCCTCCCATTCTTCTGCAGTTTCACAGCATTCTAAGGGAAGTAAATCACCAGATTTGCTGATGTATCAGGGTCCACCAGACATAGCAGAAATAATAAAAACTTTACCTCAAATACAGAAGGAAACTGGTGTCTCAATAAGAAATTGAATTTATCCAACATGGTGGTCCAGAGTAATCACTGTGGCTGCTGTTTTCATCAGACAGAATTGTCTTTACAATAGAAGACTTCCAAAATGACAAAAGAAAAATAAATTACCAGAGGTGGTGTGCACTTGCCAGAGAGAGAGAGAGAATATGAGAAAACACTCTTGCTATGAGGCATAATTACTCCACAATTCCTTTTCTTCCATTTATTTTCTTTTTTAAAAAAAAGAATTTTTTTTTCATTCATTCATTTATTTTAATTTGACCAAAGAGACACAGAAAAAGAAAGCAAGGCACCAGGTCTGGGACTCAAACTGTGGTGGGCCATATGGGAGTGTCCAGCGCTTTAATCACCATGCTACCTGATGGTCCCTTTTTTTTTATCCCCCCTCCTCCATTTCTTCCTTTATTTGGATTTTGGGCATGTACATAAACATGCCCTATGTGTTCCTCAAGCTGCCAGGTGTAGAACTCAAACCACTTGGACAACCATGTATGACTTAGCTGCTCCAAACACCAGACCACAGACTGGCTCAAGAACTAAATTTTAGGGACCAGCAGTTGGTGTAATGGCCGTCGCTGAACTCCCACATAGTTGACCATGGTCCAAGTCACAGATCTGGTGACTCAAACTCATGCCAGGTGCGTGTGTGTGCATGCCAAGATCCTGAGGAGACTGGAGGAGAAGGGATTGCAGTGTCGCCATTCCCCAAGGGGGTGATTTCTCACTTTCTGTCTCTGTCTCTCTTTGTCTTTCTGGTGAGCGCACACGTCCTATAGCAAAAATCTCTCCAGAAAAAAAGAACTAAATTGAAAAAGAATGAAATAAAATCCCAGGCCAATAGGTGGCATTGAGCTTAAGGCACTGGATCCGACATGGCCACCTGCATGGTTTGAGTCCTGAACCAGGCAGCTTCAAAATCACACTAAATCCGTGTGTGTGTGCCCAAAATTCCAAGAGGAGATGCCCAAAATCCTAAAAGGAGACTGGAGTAGAAGGGAATGTGGTGTAGCCATCCCCCCTGGTGGTGATTTCTCATTTTCCCTTCTCTCTGGTGAGCACAGACACGTTATAGCAAAAATGGACTGACAAATCATTGCTTCTTCCCTCTCCCTCAGGTACCATTCTCTCTTATCTCTTCAGTCACACTTAATGAAAACAGGAGACATAAAGAATATATATAGAAGTACCTGGTATACAATCACAAAAGTGAAAAAAAATAAAAAAGGGAAATTTGGTCAATATATTCATCTAGTAGGATGAGGTCTGAAAAGTTTTCTGATTGATGATATAATTTGAAAATAACATTTGTTTGATTTTTCTGAAAACACAAACATTTCTTAAAGAAAGATCTGGAGGGAACCAGCAGTTAGCGTAATGGCTATGTTGCTAGACTCCCACGTAGTCGACCGCGGTTCGTGTCCCGGACCCGGTGGCTTAAAACTCACGCCGGGCACGTGTGCGTGCGTGCCCAAGATCCCAAGAGGAGAATGGAGGAGAAGGGATTGTGGCGTGACCATCCCCCCTGGGGGGTGATTTCTCGCTTTCTGTCTCTATGTCTCTCTCTGTCTGGCGAGTGCATGCGCCCTACAGTGAAAGTCTCTCCAAATAAAAAAAAAAAAAGAAAGATCTGGAAAATACAAAAAATATTGTAAAGTTAATAAGTATTTAGCTTTTACCACCCAGGTAGAACCACTGTCATAGGTATATATATTTTGGATCAAAGAATTTTTTTCTTTTAAAATTGCTACAAAGAGCAGGTGATGTGGTGGTTGAGGCACTGGACTCCCACGTGGCTGACCTGAGTTTGAGTCACGAACTGGTGACTTCCTTTCTCACTTTCTCTCTGTCTCTCTCTGGTGAGCACATGTGCCCTGTGGCAAATTAAAAAAATAATAATATTGAAGGGCCAGCAGATAGCATAGTGGTTAGGATATTGGACTCCCACATGGCGGACCACAGTTTGAGCTATGGACTTGGTGCCTTGAAACTCACACTGTGTGTGTGTGTGTGTGTGTGTGTGTGTGCCCCAAATCCCAAGAGACTAGAGAAGAAATTGTAGCATGGGTATCCCCCCCCCGGGGAGTGATTTCTTTTCTTTTTTTCTTTTTTTTTTTTTTGAGAGGTT